AGGTACAAATTCTATTAACATTACATTATTTTCATGTGATCCACTTTTCATGAAACCGCTCCACGGGAAGGTAAGGTGGTTTACAGATAGAGTAGCTAACTTATAGCCAGGAAGTTTTCTATTACTACTATTAGTCCAACACATGGCCTTCTATTCCTTAATGGAAAATCCAAATTTCTATAACAAGGCCAATGTTTCCGCATCTTGGTGCAAATGCTTTCAAACAATTGTTGTTACCAAATGTAAAATAACTGGATGTTATTGCAGGGCATTTAAATTTAGTGACACAATTTCACTTAGCCCTGTAAATATTCACTTGTGTCACCACTCTAAGACTGCCATCTGAACTACAAAACATTTAAACTTCCCACAATGCAATATCATCATTGCTTGTTGGAAGCAGTATATAGTGTAAAACAAGATTGCATGCTTCAAGAAGCAGGGAAAGAGCCACAAAGCACGCAGGGAATGCAGGAAGTTGTTGAAAGTGATGGGCAGATGGAAGGCAGCATTCACTAAGTTTTGATGGTATTGTCAAAAACAAATATAGTACGTTTTCCTATTACAATGCTGATGTTATGATAGTATATGATTTGACTTTAAAACTTTTAAAACATGAGAGCAAATGAAGCATATGCGGGGCAATTGAACATTTCTAAATGTAGGGCCTTTTTATGAAATTTCCCCACTAAGACAAGTTCTGACGACGGCAACCCGCAGATAGGAGTCAGCCATCCGTCCGTTTTTTTCTTAACGGGCGGATGGCAAGAGGTTAAAGATAACCTAGAAAGGGAACAGTTGCTGAGAAAAAAGAAAACGAAGTAGGACTCTGGTTCCCTCTCTACTCTAGTCACTGCAAACTGTGTCATGCAGAAAAAAGTGCAACATGGTATCCTTTGCTCTCCTGGAAAACGAAATATTAACTGCAGAACTATAAGGAAAAAATTCAATCTTGAATCTGTAGTTTTTCCTTAAATGGATTTACCTTTGTCCAAAAGACAACGGTTCTAAAACTTCCTCTTTTTTTGTGACTGTGGTCACCAGGAGGACTGGAAGAGAGGGGAAATAACTTAAACAAAGCCCTGGACAGTGACAAAAACCCAACATGGGTTCCAATCCTCCACCACCATCTAAAACCCACAAAAAAAGTTTCACCGGGCATAAACTTTGACCCCTCTCACACTATTTGTATGAAGTTAATATGCTGTCACCATGTTATTATCTACAATTATCGCCCACAACTCAAAACATTCTCAAACATTCTGACACATTTAGCAGCTGCCGTTAAAACTGGCATTGGGTTATGTGTGAGTCGTCTAGGAACATTTGACTATGAAGCTTGACATACACTATGCAACCTGACTGTACAATCTCTTTTAAGGTGGCCATACACTGTACAACCATCGCAAGACCTAGGTCTTGCGATGGTTGTAAAGTGATTAAAAAAACGTACGATCTGCCCATCTTGGACAGGCAGATCGCACTCTCGATCATCGCAAGCCCGCCCCCGCGTGCGCACACCGGCCAGTTCGGCATTTGTCTCCCGAGCACTGTTCAAACCAGCCGAAAATCGTACGATTCTCGGCTGGTTTTCTAACATGCTCCTTAGACAAAAGACGTGCGACCGTACATTAGAAACGGTCGCACGTCTTCGTTCACACTGTTCGATTCTCGTACGATCGCGGGATTTCTCGCGATTCTCGTACGAGAATCGAGCAGTGTATGGGCACCTTTAGATTTACCAAAGCTATGCAATGGGACACACCTGAATTCATTTAATTTGCATCAAATGAGGCATACCCTTGTTCTACATAGTTGAGGGTAAACTTAAAGGAGAATGTACAAAAACAGTCTGATAAACCTGTGAGCTTTATGTACTTTGTAAAGTGCTGCTGATTTCTGGCTATTCTACAAAATAAATAAATGCATGTTTGAATTCTGATTTCACAAATCACAAACTCTGAAGAATGGAAAACGAAAACTTAAATATTTATATGGAAAGGAAAAAAACATTCAGCCAAACAGAATACAGAGAATCATAACTGCTATGAAAAATATAAAATCTGATTTAAATATGAGCCAAGCCTCATGAATATAATCTAACACCCAGTTAAAACAATGTATCCCACATCTTATAAAACTCTAGCTAGCACATCATCTATGTGAGGCATTCTTGTTTTTAGTAGTTCAAGAAGCCAGTTTTCCTTAGAAACAATAGAACATGTTAAATGGAATAAATGAGTTATCACAAAATCATGCTGGACATAGGCAAAATACATTTTTAGCCAGATAAGAGCATGCTTAACCCCAATATAGAAAAGTTAGTGGCAAAATACATATGTGCAATGTGTATACCAGTCTTTGGAATCCTTTGGCTTCCAGATGCTATCAAACTCCAACATACAGCTGCAGGTCAGGGTGGGAACAGCAGAAAGTGACAAATTGCAATTCTGGCTACGAACAGATAACTAGCAATGTAGGGGCAGTGGAGCATGCAATCATCCCAGAGGTTGTAGTGCCTTAAAATAAAAGTGGTTCTTCTTTATGTACTCCCATTATATTAGGCTACATACACATGACCATAAGAAACTTACTGATCATATACCCATGCTTTTTCTAGCCAAAAAGTTCCAACGTAAAGGATCAGTAAAACACACTTGCATTTAGATGTGTTTTCATCTTAATGTCTTTTTTCTCTTGTTTGGAATTGATTTACGCATGTATGCACTTAAAATGTATGTACTCAGATGCAGAACTTTTGATTTTTTTGTCACGGATCTAAACACAGCGCATGTTTACGCACCTGTGTGCATATACCCATTGAAAACAATGAACCTGCATTAAGATTAGAAAAAATGTATATTCATTCTGGTATTGGAGCATGCAAAGGCATGCATCATTGCAGTGTTGGCAAGTTCAAAAGTGAGTGTCAAAAAGTGAGTGTGAACAAAAATATCATATGAAACGTTTAGGAAATGCAACCATTTTCAAACACAGTCCTCTCATTTCAAGGGCTCAAATGTAATTGGAAAAAATAACACAATCACAAAACATTTTTTTCTTTTTTTTATACTTTGCAGGGAATCCATTGCAGGTGTTCTATCAAAGTCTGTGACTACGTTGGAATGTGTGACCGGTCAGGTAGGTGACACATTTTAACGTAATCCCCCCCAGTTTTTCGGCGGTGGAATGTGTGACCGCACATTAGATCAAACATTCCAACGCTTTGTTAGCTATTCCAGGGCAGATTGGCTCACTGCTTACGCAGGAGAATCGATCTGCATTACCCCATCTGCCACTTCTATCCGACTCTGTGAGTGCGATCTCACATTCCACCGCACTCACAAAGTCAGATAGAAATGACCTTGTTAGTGACATTTGAGGACCAATCAGCTGTTCCTGGCAGATGGGGTAATGCAGATCAATTCTCCTGCACATGCGCAGTGAGCCAATCTGCCCTGGAACAAATGACAAAGCGTTGGAATGTTTGACCTAAAGTGCGGTCACACATTCCACCGCTGAAAAACTGGGTGGGATTACTTTAAAATGTGTGACCACGTGACCGGTCACACATTCCAACATGGTCACAAACTTTGATAGAATACAGGCAATGACTGCTTGAAGTCTGGAATGCATGGACATCACCAATGTGATGTTTGTTCGTGGGTCTTTCCTACTTAAAGGAGAATTATGGGGAGAGTGAAATACACTCATCCCCATAAGTAGAGCTGATGTGTGACACTGCAGCTATCACACATCGGCTCTATTGATCAATAGCTGAGCGATCACATACTGCTGATTGCTCAGTCCCAGGTCTTCTCCTTGATGAGAGCGGTGACTGTCAGTCACTGCTCCCCACAGGGACTCCCCCTCCCCTCTCCATTCCTCCAGTGCTGCCTGGGGGAACGGATGGGAGAGGGGGCGGAGAGGCAGAGCCAGCTGTCAATCAGGTAGCGGGGTGGATCCCAACAATATTGTCGGGATCTATCCCGGCTGCAATAAGGCTCTTTTGCGTCACAGGAGGACTATGGCAAAAAAAGGTTGGGTCATAGCTCTCTTAAATGCATGCTCGATCAGGTTGAGATCATGTGATTGGCAGAATATTCCATGGTCCGTGTTTCTAAGAATCTTCCAGGACAGCAGGCCCACTTCCCACCCTTGTTTGTGGTGTATATTAGCATGTTTTTTTTTCCCCCTCGTGCACTGGTGGAGCTACTTTACTTAAATCTCCACTGAGGGACGAGGGGGTGGGAGGGGTTTTTAAACCTCTTGTTAATTGTGTTTACTGTAGATGGGAGAACCAATCATCTCTCAGGTTGCTGTTCTGGAAGATTCTTAGAAACATTGTTACCGATAAGTCTAACTGGGATTTTTCATAATCGATTAGTTAGCTCCTTTGGAGCTCCGAAAACCACATCCTCTTGGGCCACCAAGGGGATACTAGGATCAGTTTCCAAATTGACTGGCTCAATTTTTGTAACACCCGGGGAAAAAAGAATAGAGGAGATAAAGCATATGCTAGGGTAAAATTCCGTTCTTGAGAGAGTGCATCCACCCCCCTGGAGTCTGCTTCTACTGAAAGGGAAAACAATTCTGTTACCTTCCTGTTTGACTTTGTTGCAAACAGGTCTATGTCTGGATATTCCCACCTGGAGACTATCTGAGCAAAAACTTATTGATGAAGCTCCCACTCTCCCGGTTTGATCTTTCTGCGGCTGAGAAGATCTACCACCACATTGTCTGTACCCTTTATGTGAACTGCAGAAATGGATTGAGTGTTTGTTTCTGCCCAATTCAGAATTTCCTGGGTCAATTCCTGCCCCCTTGATGATTCAGGTACGCTACCATCTTCGCATTGATAGAATAGAATCAAAATTTCTTGGCCCCTTATTCTTTTCTGAAAAACGAAAAGAGCCTCTTTCAACGCTGACAATTCTCTCATGTTTGGGACTGTTTCCCTCAAAGTGTGGGACAGGGGCCATTGAGTCTGCAACCCCTGAGCATGTGCTCCCCACTCCCAGGAACTGGCATCTGTTGTTATGCGAATTGGAGAGAGTTGGAACCAAGGTCTCCCCTCTGCAAGAGTCTAAGGATTCAACCACTAAAGAAGTGATTCTCTCACCATTGGAGTCAGTTAAACCTTTTGTTCCAATTACTCTTTTTGACCATCCCACTGAGGCAAAAGTAAAACTTTAAGTGGACTAGAGTGTAACTGTGCCCATGCCAGGGCCGGAATTGAAGAAGTAATTTCTGTTAGTGACAAGGACTCTACCGAACAGGTCTGTCGAATCAGAAACAGGATACCAGTGACCTTTTCTTCTGTCAGAAAAATCCTCTGTGAAACCGAGTCTACACGGTAACCAAGAAAAATTCTGGATTGATCTGGACTCAAAGAGGACTTCTCCACATTTAGAATCCACCCAAGCCCGCTCAGAGAGACCCTGACCTTCTGCAAATCCTGTAATATTTCTGTTCTGGATGAAGCGCATAAAAGAAGATCGTCTAAATAAATTATTTATTTAGTATTCTAGGAAAAGGCTAGAATCTCTCATCTTATATCTTAATTTTTTTTTGCCTGTTGTATATTTTTTCCCCCTTACCTGTCTAGTGAAACTGTTGTCACCTTGGCAGTAAGTAAAGGGAAATCTCTGGGTTTTTTGTTTTTTTTACTGCTATTCTTGACTCCAACAGAGGTTCTAATCCTTCCACATTCTAACAAAACAAGTACAAAGTTTTGTCTGGACATAGACCTCAACTGCAATCTTGAAATGTCCTAATAAGAATTACCATTAGACTGCTAAAAGGTAAAATCAGGTTGGTTAGCAGAAAGAGGTACTTACTGTGGCTAACAAAAGGGAAAGTGGGCATCACCAGTGTGATACTAACTTTTCATTTAAAAGCTAGGTAACTTTAAAGAAAATTAAAAGAGAACTATGGGGTAACTTTTTTATCCCATAGTTCTCTTTAGGGTCATGGGAGGACATATACTAACCTTCTCCTGTGACCCAAAGCTCAGTATATAGCGGGCTATTGCTCGCTATATACCGAGAACGCCGTAGCCGGGACGGATCCCAACAATACTGTTGAAATCCAACCCAGCTGGCTGATTAACAGTGGGCTCTCTCTATCTAGAGGAAGAGCCAGCTGAGCTCGCTCACTCCCCCATCCCTTCCTCCAGTCAGTGGAGGGAGATGATCGGGAAGTGAGCGAGCAACAGTAAGGGTTCGCTCACTTCCCGATCAATAGAGCCAACGTGTGACAGTTTCAATGTCATGCGTCGGATTTAACTATGAGGATGAGTGTTAATCACTCACCTCATAGTTCTCCTTTAAATTTGAGAAATTATATCCTATGTGTTCTGTTAGTAATAAAGTTTACAGACTATTTATTGCTACACATCTAAATCGCAGGTAAAGATTTAACACACTACAAATTATGGTGTAATTTTTACATCTTGTTCACAAAAGTTTACCTGTCCAAGGAGAATGGGAAGCAGAATTTTGGGACAGTGTGCAAGACTTCCTGTAAAAAAAAAAAAAAAAAATAGAAATTGGTCAAAATGAAATATAACATAGCGCTCCGATTATCAGTTTAAACTTTGATTTATAAGAACAAATCGACTCCATAAAATTTGGATTGCAAAGATTAAACATTTAAATCAATCATTGCAAACATTTTCAATGTGACTCAAGCCATTCTTCATGGTTTCCCATCTAAGGAGAACCTTTGCATAGAAGCTCTTTATTTTTCCCTTTGCATCAATCCTTAAATAGCAGATGTCAAAACTCTGTATAAAAATCAACTTTCCCATTAACTGTTTGTGTTAAGCCTGCCTCCATAAAATGGACTCATCCTTACTTAACTGTTTTTTTCCTAAAGAATGAGATCAAATCAATAGAGAAAAAAAGAATACTTCAAGTCAATGGAGAAACAAAGTGAGTAAAAATGGACAGTGAAGTCAATTTTTAACAATTGCTATCTAGGGACTGCTAGAGAGCTGTTACAGCAAAGACAACACTGCAATGAGCTGAAATAGCCTCTATCCTTAGTTAAATCTATATAACAAGAGGATAATAAGAAGAAATGCCTATTCCCATCAGTTTTTTTTTATTTTGATGAACTGGACTGAAAGTGAAACAAACAGAAAAGCAGAACGAGTAAAAAGAACAAAGAAAAAAAGATGTAGTATGAGAAAGAATGATAAGAGTTAAGACTAAGAGTGATCTACCCTGCTCAGTCCAAGAAATAATAGTCCTAGAATCCATAGATTTTAGTTTTATTCTTATCGCTTTACATTGCCAAAAAAATAATTTGATATCTTATTTATCTTTATACATTATATTTTAGTCTTTACTAAAGCCAGAAGAATCTTGGTACAAAAAAGAATTAGAGAAATGATTGATAAAAGGGAAAAGAATGGGGATCTTGACTACTAGAGAGCGTAAATTCCTTGTCCCTACAGAATGCAAACTTCCTATCATATACCATCTCCCCAAAAATCATAAAAACCAAACCCAACCTCCAGGCCGTTCCGTTCTGAATGGCATCGGCTCGGTAACCAAAAAATTGGGTGCATACGTTGATTATTTTTTGCAGCCCCATATTCAAAAGAGCAGTACATATCCACGAGACACAAAGCAGTTCATATAACTAATAGAAGGTTTACAATTTAACTCAGACAACTTCCTCATTACGGCTCATGTCAACTCGTTACATACCATCATTAACCATTTGGATGCACTAACTTCTACCAAGTGGGTATTGCCCTTGAAAGAAACTATTTTTGGTATAACAATAGTTACTATAGACAAACGGTGGGGGTAGCTATGGGTGCCAAATTTGCCCCCAGTGGGCCAATTAATTTATGTTGAAGTGGGAAAGTGAAACTATACTCAACAACCAGCCGCAAGAGTTAATCATCTACAAATGATACATAGATGATATTTGCATGGCAGGGTGAAAGAGAAAAACTAGAGACTCTTAGTGGGTCTAAATGAAAATTCTCATAAACATATTATTAACATACCATATAAAAAAAAAAAATATTAGTTTCTTAGATGTAGAAGTGTTTGTTGAAAATGGATGGTTGATGGTAAAATCATTTTTCAAAAATACTGACAGGAATGGCTATATATCCACCTGCAGCTACCACCATCCAGCTTGGATACAAAATATACCTAGAGGGCAGTTTGCAAGATTAAGGAGGAACAGCACCAAGTTTGAACACTATGAACAAAAGTCAAAGGTTCTGAGGGAGAGATTCTTTCAAAAAGGTTATCAGAAAGATTTCATAGGAGACATTATAAGAGTAGGGGAGACTATGCAAGATTCTATTCTTGATAGGATGTGGTGGCCACCACTTCAAAAAACAACAGAACAAAGGTTGTCCTGGGAATAATGTTGGTCATGGGTTTCCACAATGAGTATAAAACAGTGGAGAAAATTATTAACCAACATTGGCAGGTCTTATTGTTAGACACACAACTAAAGACATTCTTCACAGTAAACCATTTATAGTATATAAAAAAGTGGATAATTTAAAACAGATAATTTATAAAAGTGTAGTAGATCCACCTAATAATAAAAATAATTGTACATTGTTTCCAGACCTGACAGGTTTTCATACCTGTGGGAGGTGTCATGGATGCACATTCTGTACGAAAAATAAAAGACGCAGGAAAAATGTTATACTTATGGTAACAATGGAAGAATGCACCATTAAGGAATTCATTTCCTGTGACACAGGAGTGGTGTATGTTTGGAGTGTCCTTGCGGACTCCAATACATAGGACAGACAACCAAAAAAATTAGCCACACGTATCAGGGAACATGTATACGATATTAAACGTGGGTACAAGGACCACTCAGTATCCCTACACAAATCCAAAGTTTTTACAATTTTGGGGGTTACAACGCATTACAAAACATTGGAGAGGGGGCAACTATAAACCTAGATTAGCCATGAAAGAGACCGAGTGGATATACAAAACAAAACTCAAGCACCCAAGGGGTTAAATGTAGGTTTTGACCTGAAATGTTACAGCAGTGATTCTTGAATTTGTTAGTTGGGGGTCTATTACACACTTGGGTTTTGATATATTTTTTTATATATATATATATATATATATATATATATACACACACACTGAGTGGCTAGTTTATTATGACCACCTGACGTTTGTAGGCAAATTAGCTATAATTTCGTGCTGAAGTTGCTAGAGGGCCAGACCATTATAAATAGGGAAGCAAATTGTTTACCACGACAGTAGAATTCATTTTTTTTCTGAAGATATAGGTAAACAACGCGATTTAACAGCCTTTGAACGTGGGATGATTGTTGGCGCGAGCCATGGAGCGAGTATCAGCAAAACAGCAGAATTTGTTAAATGTTCAAGAGCAGCT